ATTGCCACTCTGTGATCAAATCGCGTGCTACGTGCCGACCGAAAAGCCGATGTCAATCAGACCTGTCAACAGTCAGTGTTCTCGCCAATAGGAGCTTGCATCAGGATCTGATGCACAGCGGGTGCCGTGGAACGGCGGCCCCAAAGGTCTGTCCACAGGCCTTTTCGCTTTTCCCTCTCCCCACGCCGCTCGACTAAAGGCCTGTTCACAGGCTAGCGATTTCCTGATTCTCAGAAGATTTTATGTATTGTTTGGCGCTGAGTTTATGTGTGTCTTTTTATCTCAGAGTGAAAGAGATCTGTGGTTCATTGGTGGATTTGCTTAAATGAAAAAAATCGTCCATTACCAGTTTTTGATGGACTTTATTACCGGGCCGGGGAGCGCGACCAAACAGCAAGGAGAGAAATCTTGCATCGTCTCTCCTAACATTATTTTCACCGCAAGTTTATATTAGGTTGCAAACCGTGCCTGTTAGAAATGCTTATGCGCAAATAAATCTTCTATCAGGCAAGGGAAAAACAGACCGAAAGAGCCGAACAGCTGCAGCACAATGGGAATTTCACCAAAGCTACGGCCGCAGAAATATACACCGCGATCTTCTCTGAGCGTTCATTGAAGTGAGTGCAGTGTAGCGATTTTGTTATTGACCTAACCTCACAGTTTTAAAATCTATGATGTTGTCTAGATCTTCGATAATGGTTTTGTGTTTTGGTAGAGATTTATAACAATTTATTCCCTCACGTAAGCCTACATGAAGATTTGCATGTACATAGCACACACTGCATGCAAATTATAATAAAAACACCCTTTCAGTTTCCGCACTGGGCTATGAAAAATGTGTTGTTTCCAAAGGTTATTACAATACTCAAACTTATTTACCTTTGCTGGGTTAAAATGGAACAAACTCTTCCCGGATTTGGCGTTACTCGCTTCACGGCGGCTTCCGCTTCGGCATGTTTTTTCTTAGCCCGTTTCCCGGAGTTATGCTACTTGGCTGAGACGATCTCTTCATTCCACAACGTCTCATAACGGGAACACTAACAGGGGTAGACCCGGGTAGACCCCGACATTTACAAAAAAAGAAAGGTTGAAGTAACAAGATGACCAAAATAATCCGATAAAACCGTCAACAGTAACCAGCAATGAATCGAAGAGGAACGGCGAAAATAACACACAAATCATCATGGCGGCCTGCCTATGACCGAGCAATTCAAACTTATCACAAACGCTCAAGAATGCAAAAGATTTAAAACAAACGTAACTACTATCAAGATAAAGTGTTCCAGCAACTTTCCACGGGTGTATAGTGCCGAAATTACCTACACAAGCTTGGAATAAAGCGAAAATTTCATCATGTACACCTCTGAAAAAGGCTCTTCCCGAGCGCGAAAATCACTCTACAAATAACGCATTCTGATTGGTCGAATCTTGTGTCTCGTAACGCACACCACCTGCTTGAAAACGGTAATAAAGCGATTCTATGACGATTTGGTCCATAACAAAAAGGTAAAATCTACTTAAAAAACTAGATAAACTTAAATTAGACAATAATTCCATAAATCTGATCTTAATCCTTCTACTATCAAGCAAAATTGTTGGCGTAACTCTAACAGGCGTTCAAATCCGCTTTTCTCTCATGAGACAATTGTAACTTTCGTGTACCTTTGCCTACTACTAAAGAACGAAACCAAATAATATAACAAAAGAAATCACATACATATCGGTCCCGCTTGTACCAAATGAAAGGTTAAGACCAAACCAAAAAACGATGTCACGACGCGAATCCTAGTTGACTTTTCAGACCAAAGCGACGCTAACGCTCGCTTTTGTATACTCGTGGGGACGCCAAAATATTCCATTACAAAACCAACCAATAGAAAATCAGGTAAACATTGTAACTACGCTAGTAACTAGGGTCCCCAGTCGTCTTTCTCTGTCTCTATTATCAAAAGGTGCTTTTCCGATTATTTCAGTCATTTCCCAAGTCATCCGTCATATCAAATTTCCCTGTTTAATTTCTGTCGTCAATTTCGTACTAAAATCCCAATCTTCATTAAAAAAAAAAAAAAATTAAAACGGAAATTAGTCAGAAAAATGTTACCCTACTAAAAATATCAGCCAAAAAATCTATTTACGAAATTGATAACAGAAATTACTGAGAAAAAATCCTACTTAAAATATTAATCTGCGAAATTGATGATATATTAGCCTAGGAGAATTGATTATAGGATAACAGGGGAAATGACTGAAATAATCGGAAAAAAGTAAGTTGGAGTTTTAGCGGAAAGCATCATTTAATAACTACCTGCTATCTTGTTTTGACAGAGTTGTGAGTATTCAATATCATGTATGATTGTCTGATTGTCTGAAACTTCAACATCTTGTGTAAAATGATGAGGTAAAAACACCTGCAGGTTTTGACAGAGTAGTTAATATTTAATCAGTTACAGAATTGCTAGTTTTCAGTGTCACTCCATTCAAAATAGATCAAAAAAATCAAAACCGTTCAATAGATAAAGTCCAGAATATGGGAAATGAAAGGAGGTACATATAAAAAGACCCTTTCCAAGATTCAGGTCAGAGGAATATTTCGTATACGAGATATCCGAAGAAATGTTTTACCAAAACTTATAGAGATTTGTGTGGAGACTCCATGCTGGTACTCACCTGGATGAGCTCCAACATGGCGGACGGAAACCAAAAGAAACATCTGATATCGTGTTTGGCTACAAAAGCGTGAATTTATTCTTCGAGAAACTCATAAACATTAAAGTAATACTTTTTCGAATACATGAAAGGTTTAGATAGCAAAATTTCCTGAAATCAGTCATTTTTTAACCTACATGACAGCTCTCTTGGCCGTCATGTAAATGCCGCGTCACGCAAAAGCTTAGAAATTCAAGCGTACTCTATCAAAAAACCAAGAACCCTTTTGAAGCGAAAATTTGTATGAAAATTAGTTTTGAGCTGCTCTAATGCATCGTGAAAGTAAAATCTCGGTAGGATCGCTGGTTTTTTAGTTTGAATTTTAGTGACGTCATGTGAAAACCAATAACAGAATGATGGGGGTTTTCCCACCAAGAATGTTTTTGCCAAAATTTTCAATAAACTTCTATATTTGCCAAAATGTTCAGTAAAATTTTATATAAAGTATTTGGTTGTTATTTTTGGACGCATGATGAAGTTTTAAACACATGCCAGTTTGTTTTGACAGAGTTGTTGATGTTTAATCAATTACAGAATAATCTAGAGTGTGTTGTCTTCTCTTTAACTAATCAGCGGTAAACAGACGCGTTTTGTATAAAATTGGTGCGGAAAAAATAAAATTGATTTTTAAAAATAAAGTCTTAGAGAAAAGAAATCATTTAACAAAATGATTTTATCACTAACATTTTCATCAATCTCATCCGATAGTGATTACGAAGACGATTATCCGATTCGAAAATCATACAAAGATGAGCCATTCTATTACGATGGTATTTCTGATGAAGAACTTCATTCTCATTTAAACAGAGAGTTTGAAGAAAGGGTAAACTGGATAAAATATGGTGTTTGTTTTTCCAGTGAAAACCGGCTTCATGACGATGGTGGTGATTATATTATTTACGAGCCATATAACGGGTGTGATATAGTTGATACTAACATCCATGGTGATTTTTCTGTAAAGGAGAAGGAGTTTATAAGTTTGGTTACGAAGATTTTGTTGAAAAGGAATACATTAAATCAAAACCAAAAAGTGTTTTTGATTCAATGATAAAAAATTTTAAAAAAGTTACATCTTTAGATAAAAAATGCAAGTTATTGCATACAGTCAATCAACATAAATTTAGTTGTATTTTACACGATAAACCATACAGTAGCTTACAGTAAATATTTTCATGAAAGAGATTATTTTTAGCCCTTCGGGGCATTTGTTATGTCGCTCGAGACGATAAAACGTTATCTAAACAATTAATTAAAATGAAACCTGAAGTGATTGATGTTACTTCAACAGAGGAAGAAATTGAGGATTCTTCAACTGGTGAGGAAATTACAACGGTTGCTGAAGAAATAGTGTGTAAAATGAAAAATGTTGAAGATAAACCAAAACAGACTAAAAAGAAAAATTTATCAAATGTAAAAGCGGAGGATGTTATTGAAGATAAACCAAAAAAGATGAGTAAATTATCAAATGTAAAAGCCGAGGATATTGTTGAAGATAAATCACAAAAGATGGGTGAAACAACTCAACCAACAAAGAATGTTGTAACTGGAAACGATTTTGCAAAACTGACCAAAAAAGCCTTGAAACTGGGAGCTACAAGCCTTGATTATTCAGGGGCACCCAACGAGGATATAGTTCAAAACCACTTAACATAGCACTGTTGAACGAATTTAGTATTTAAACGGTAGATATAGGCATATTTTTATCCCCTAAAAACTTTTCATCTGTTCAGATTTCCTAGCTGAAAGTCTAGTGATCCGAAAATTATAGGGATCAAAACTTACCTTTTCGAAAATTTCAGCCAGGAAAAGGCTCCCGAAAATTCTAGGTGGCCTTTTTTAGGGTAAATATCCGTTTAAAATGGGTAATTATACCATTTTGTAGACGTTCGAAAATCCTAGGAGAGGCAGGCAAGCAAGAAATTTTACAACAAATGTTCCGAAAATTCTAGTTCTCAAATCGTCTTCCGAACAGACATTTTCCCGAAAATTACCGTTGGGTACCCCTGATTATTCCAATAGCAAAAATTGTAAGTATTTTGTTATACTCAACAACGGAAAAAAAAATTCATTTCGGAAATCCTAAGTACGAGGATTATTTGATTCATCATGATGAAGAGCGAAGAAAGAAGTATCTTGCTAGAGCCAAAAAAATAACTAATAAACAGAAAGTATTAACCTGGGAGAATCCAGAGTAGGCGAATGATTGGTCGATTCAGCTTTTATGGGGGGGTGAATAATTAATTTTAGCTTAAAAATTGTCTATAAGTATTAAATAATAAAATGCAAATTACTATAGTTACGAAAATCTTACCAGTGACAAAATTATATTCCATGAAGCCAAGGAGTACAAAGTCAAGAATTCCAAACTTAAATATCAACGAATTAAAATTGAAACCAAGTTTCCAAATGGCAAAAAAGGAGCTCTTGTAATCGAGACTCCATTTTTGTTTTCCTTTGGAGTCACAGAACGATTAAATCAAGAGACTAATCAGCCCAGGGGATATTCAATTCCAGTGTGTCTCTGGGGAAAAGAAGAAAAACCAAATGAAAGTGAAAAATCGTTTTTTGAAGCAATAAACAAAGTCACAGAAATCTACCAGCATTATCTCGAGGAAGAATTTGGTCCAGATATGGCGAGTTATTTAACAAATTCTCTTTACTGGAAACAGGTTGAATATACTGACAAGAAGGGTAAAACAAAGAAAAAGAAGGATTAATCAGCCGCACCAGTACTTTATGCAAAACGTATTTATTCTGATAAATCAAAAAAAATACTTTCACTATTTCGCACAAAGGGAAATGATAAAGTCAGTCCTTTTGATTATTTGAATCAATATTGCAAGGTTAAAATGGCACTTATTATCGAGAGTATTTATCTCTCAAAAAATATTGTTTCTCTTCAGATAAAGGTTCATGAGGCCTATATCAAGCCTCTAAAGCCAATGGAAGCGTTACTGTCAATCAAAGAAAGTGATGAGGACGAAAATGAAGAATCTGATATTAAAGAACTAAATATCTCAGATATTGAAGAAGATTAAACTCAATTTTTAATACAAATTTTGTGTTAAAAATCAAGCCAAATCTTTAAAACTAACCCATGAGTTAAATTTCTCAGAATATCCGCTCGACCTCACCAGTGCCAACTTTTTCTTGTTATCTCGTCTTAAAACTTTCTCAATTCTAAATATTTCTTGCTCTGGTTTTTGTAACTCTTGCTCGTAAAAAGAACCTTCAATCTCTTCTCCCATTAAATCAACAATTTTATACGTAACAGGTTTTGTTGGCAGAACCTCATTCACCACGAATACCTCTTCTGTCCAGTTTGGTGTGTAACCCTTATCAAATACTCGCCTCTTGCACTTTGAAATACGAACTTTGTCACCATTTGCAGACTTTGGTTTTTTAGATTTTAAGTAAATCAAATCGCCGTACAAATTTTCAAGAGCTTTTTCCTCATTTTACTTTTTACTCTCTTCAACAGGTTTCATTTTGATACTAGAATGTCTTGAGTTGTTGTAATCATCAACTAATTTATTTATCTTATATCCCAATAAACAGTATTGTTGTTTGTGGAGAACATCTTCCACATTTTGTTTTTCATTGTTTTATTCCATCTTTCAACAACGCTTGATTTCTCTTCATTCTCAGTGTGATATAATTTGATTTTATTTCTTTTAAGAAACTCTTTGAAATTTTTACTGATAAACTCAGAACTTTTATCCGTCCAAAACATTTGCGGTTTACGTTTACTCTTGAATATTTCATCAAATGCTTTACTGACGGTCTCAGTCTTTTTATCTTTCAGTGGTTTAATCCAACCATTCTTGCTAAAAACATCAATTACCATCAGTAAATATTTCACACCTTCAATTTGTTCCACGTACTTAACTTTTGCATTTCAACCAAATCAGCAGCCCAGAGTTCATCAATCCCGTTTGAGATTACTGCTCTCTTTGAAAAGTTTCTTGTGATTATTATTATTATTATTATTATTATTATTATCATTACTATTATTATTACTATTATTACATACAGGTCCCCGTGAACCGGTCGTGCTCACACTATAACGGTAGTATTTTTTTGTCAACTCAAAAAGCTATCTGGTATAGAATGAATACCTGTCCGATATGTTACTCTCTGAAAGTGATACATCTGAAGCGAGCAAAGATACGCCTTCTCAAAGTTGCGACGTTTGCAAGGTGATTGTGGTGGTGGTGGTGGGGGAGGGGTGCACAAACTTGCGCGGCCTTACATGACAAGGCAAACTTTTGAAAAATCTCGCGACTTTGCGGAGCTGTTTCATCGTTATTAATCAACAAATCACACTTTAGTTTTAAGGCGCTTTTTGCAGCGTTGTCGACGAATTTTCGCCAGCTGGCCCTTTCAAAGTTGGTAAAATCCGTGGAAGGGTCTGTTATCCCATGGTTATTCCTGTAAAATGTTTTACGACTTGTTTTTGATTGCTGTCGTATCGAATCCTTATCACTGCGTCAGTGTCAACCTTAAGGGCTTATGAGTACAAGAAAAAAAGTAGATTAAAATTTGTTGTTTACGCGCTCGTTATGCTTGTGCTGAAAGTTGTTGCATTTTTTGGTCTCTTGTAGTTCGGCGGAGGAACTCATGAAGGATATCAACAGCATGCTGAGTGACTTTTCTTCAGAGCTAGACTCCATGTTCGATTAAAATGGTAAAAGAAACGCTCAAGACCGTCTGCATAGCTAGTGCACCAAATATGGCAATGGACATAACCGGACACAGTGATCTATTACCTTGACCAGTACTGAATTAGATGTGCTGGTTTACGGTCATCTTGCCACCAACGAAATCGCTACCAAAAAGTCGACTCGCTATAGTCGAATAACTCGGAAATATTAAATTGACACAGTTTAATACCCAGGATTTTACTCATTCGTCAAGCTTATTGGAATTTGAAGTCGACCTAAATACAAATCTGTCGATCCTAATTGAGGATCCTTGCGTGGAAGCTCTCATGCTCTTAACACTTTAAGCCCTAAGAGTGATCAGCATCAAATTTCTCCATGTAATATCAATACTTTGTAAAACAGAGTGGCCATGAGAATTAAGGACATGATCACACAAGATGAATTTGCTTAATGTTTTGTCAACTTCTCTCTATTACTTCTATAGAAAATGAATTGGTGCAACAAATGAGAATTTCAATTTTGACCCTAGTGTTTAAAGGGTTACCACTCTAAATACTGATAATAGCTTCAGTTAATGTAAACTTTGACATTTAAGAGATTTACATGTAAAAAAAGGAAGAAAAATCTTTTCTTTGAAATATGATAACGTAATGGTTACGAGAAATTTTTTTGTTCATGAAAGTTCTTTTCATTTGTTGTGCATAGTTGGGGCTTTTCAAAACAATAAAGCTAAGTTCTATTCTTGGTGGCGAGATGGTTTGGTGGCAAAGGGACTGGATATCGATGTGCTTCGTTGTCGCAAATGAACGCAGTTACTCGGCATTGCAGTAGTAACTTTCATATTGAATTGCCTACATTTATTTTCCGCCATGAACGGTTTTCATGTCTTGAAAAAATCATGTTGAGTGAAGAGTTTTCAGTCATGTCACCAGGGTCTCTACTGTCCTGCACGATCTCAGTCAAGGGGTCCACTCAAGGGGAAGAGAGGAGGTTGATGTTGGATTTAACCTTTCAAAAGTTCTACAATTAATTTTTTGTGCAGTAATCTACAATAGATGGTATTGGGTGGCCTTTCTTGGAGCTAATATGTTTAAAGTCCATCTTGGTCAAACAGTTCCTTTTATTCACCAATGAGGTGGTACTATTACGAATTCACTGCGCTTAATGATTGGTTAAGAAATCTCGCGCCTTTTCCTCAACCAGCCATATAAGGCAATTTAAGTCTTGTAGGCGATTTCCCGCCGTAGTTGAAAGCCGCCCTAACGAGACTATTCATTGCAAGCTCATTGGAAGATAATATTCGCTTTTTTAATGTAATAAATAAATGTTGAAAGGGTGTGCAAAAGTTTTTATTAAGGCCCTTAATTTCTCTTTCGAACAAAAGGAGAAGAACTTCCCTTAACGAAGGCTGATTATATTCATTTGATAATCGCAAAGTCGGGGAATACTTTATAGTTCCAATGAAAAACGCAAAATGTAATACCATTTTATTAGACATTTGCAAAATTGTAAAATGGCTTTTAATTTTTAAAGAAATACCCAACGTGTATAGAGCTTTATCATTCTTTTTTATTCTTGTAACAAATAGACTTACATTTTCTATAATTAAACTTAATTTAAATGTGTGTAATGATGCCCAGTTTTATCGAAGGTTTTCAGTATCATAGATGATCCCAGATCCCGAATTAAAGGTACCAACATTAATGTTCTCCTTGCAGGAGAGCGATTTTCGTTTTTTGAAAAATAGTTTCGGTAAGTGTTAGTTATTTGTTTTATCAGTCAATGGATGAAAAGATCAAACATGGACTCTTCGTTTTTCCGCCAAAGAAAACCCTAATATGGAGAAGGCATTGTTCGATTGACCAATCGTGTTGCAGTATGACGTTGTTTCTGTTTTGTTCGCGCGTTTTCATTTCAAGGTCATACGAAAATCGCTCTATCAATACATAATCAAGAAAAAAGCTTACGAAAATCAATTAGAAAATGCTTTGATCTTTTATCAAATTATCTCTACAACTAATTCTTTAAGAAGAAGGGGGGAAATTCGCCTGGAGAATTTGAATGGGGATATTAGGGTTTAAAGGATCAAGGGATGATTCAGGGTGCGGGCACTGAGTTTATATCAAATACATTAGTTTTAAGGGAAGTTGTAATTCGCAGTTATGCTAAACACAAAAACGTATAATATACCAGTAACGAAACACTGGGACAGTACGTTACAGGTATAGTCCTCTTAACCTTGGCTCGCCCGTACCAAGTCCCCAGTCAGTGTAAAAGAGCGAAACGGGGCGATCCGGAAAAAGCTAGGCTCAGTCTCCAGCCTTGTGTGTCTCGATGCGCCCGCGTATCGAGACACGCAAGGCTTGAGACTGAGCCTAGGAAAAAGCGAGCGTGCGAAAAATCTCCTTCTCTCCCCAGTTTTCACGCGGTTTTCGCCCAAATTTCTTTCCTCGATCTTGGAGCCTGGAAAAAGATAAACCTTGTCTTGGTTTTTTCCCAATTGTAGGACACGCGACGTCATATCATTAAATTATGGGCACATACGCAAGTGAGCTTTTAGTAGGGTGCACGACTCAATGCAGCTTCATTATAAAGGCCACACGACACCAGAAATGAAGGGTTTTACATCCTTGTCAGCAAAAGAAATTGAAATTTCGTGTCCCAGTTATTAAGACAGCATCAGATACCTGTTCCCCCCAGCACGTCGTATTTCAACGGTTTACGTGTCACCAGTGGTTTCGCTATAAAGTCATTTCGCCACCCTAGTTAGTTACAGTAGTTTGCTACATTCTACAAATTAATTCAGCGCATCTAACTTTTCAAACGCAATTAAGATTGTCCCAGTTTTCATTGTCAAAGGTGTTGTGAAACAACTACCAATTCTCATCCTAACTATCTTGGTCTTCCAAGCTGCGCAAACATGCAAATCGATTTTCCCACATTTTGCGGACATCAAATGTGCTCGTTGCAGCCCTGACATGAGAACCTCCGGCCGTCCTTCCACTGTTCCTTCCACGTGGTCTTTCTTCTAGAGCGATTTTGTGTAGCAGATCCTTTGTAATTACTGCATTTTTAAGCGTGATGAACAACTGTTTTTTTGAAGACGGAATTAGTTCCTCTGGGGTGCGTCCTGGAAAAAGAAAGTACATAATAAATTACTGCTAAATTTGTACGTTCTTTCCTGATCGTAACAAGGTGTAACAAGGTCCACGTTGTAGTGTAAAAGTGTTGGACTGGGCTGTCATTGAAAAATTAAACTGAAAAGGCAACTGTTAGCGTGCAACTTTCAAATAAGAGAGTATTTATAACCTTTTATTACATAGACACGAGTGTTTAACTGGAAAATATACTAGTCGTAAAATTCATAAAAACTGAGTGGTTTATTTTCCATAATCTCACACGTGAGTTTATCGATGACGTAATTTCGGTCGTTTCCCTCTATTATTTTATCGATGTCTTTTTGTCTATGTTATAGAAAGAACATTACACGGCGGCTTGAAGATATGAATTTTATTTTTTCGTGACAAAAACAATATTTTACTCACTCGCTGCGCTCGTTCGTAAAATATTGTTTTGCCGATTGAAATTAAATTCATATTTTCGCGCCACCGTGTAATACTACAAAGTCACTTTTCATGCCTTTTAGCCAAGCACTTTTGACACGTACAGGCAAACATTTCGATCTCAAGTTGACATTTCTTTTCATGTTGAATTCCTTTTCACGTTAGCTTGAGCTACCTTAATAACCTACGCGAAAAGTCGAGTCACCGCAGAATACTAGTTGACACGACGCGGTTTGCAAATAATATATAGAGGACTGACTTTGTCTCACAATAGAAGCAAGTAGCTGAGCTCGATAGAAGTTGAAAGATTCGACCACAATAATCAGTCAGTGTCAACTGAAAACCATCTTACTGTCCATCTGTTGTAAAAATCCTTTTTAGGTTTTTCAATTTTTTGTTCTAATTTTCATAGTTTTGAGTATTGGTGGTACACGGGGAAGTGCTGGCATGCTTTACTCAGTGTTTTTTCGATAAATAACTCACCTTGATTTAGGTCCTCCGCCAGACTGTGCGCCGTTAGTCCATTGTGTATCTTATGAATGTACGGCGTAAGCACAGGTTCGAGTAGAGTACAGTTAAGGTTGATAGCCTCTCTCAAAACAGACTGCCACTGACAAAAACTGTGCGCTGCTCGCAGATCAATTGATTGAGTTTTCACGTTCTCTTCCTTCAAATTGTCTTGTAATTTAACACAACAGCACAATAAAGCCAAGAGATGATTTATGTTCAGCTCTGGCTGCGCATTGTTGAGAAGATGACGAAGTGATGCAGCAAATAATTTCATATCCTGCGGTAAAGCCTCGATTTCAGGTGTGTCTGCACTATCAAGCGCAAATAACAAAATGTTTAGCGTCTCTGTGGTCTCCAGATCTGGGATGTGACTTATACCTGGTACCACACCCTCTTGACAGGGAGCAACATTTGACTCCTTCACCGTCATACCCTCTCTATTCCATTCTTCGACAGCTGATAAATTCCCTGTCTCTTTTGTGCCTTCTTCTACATCGTTTAGAATACCGTAAACAAACTGTCTAAGCCGCGAAGAAGAGCGGTTTATGGAAATTTCCCGACAGTTTTCAACCTGCACTCGAAGCGAGCATTTACCAGAGGTTAAACTATTCATAAATTTGGTTGAAAACAGCCCAGAACGAAACCGACGCAAAACCCACTGCTCAATTTCGTGGCCACTACGTGTCCTAAGGGAGCTGCACACCTCACCAGTTCTGAAATAATCCAATAAATTCGATTCCTTAATGTTATATTCCTGAAGAGAAAGTTCTACATCTTGCCCCAGTTCAGGCGGTGAGGATGTCTTTTGAAGGATAGACTCCAGTGCTTTCTGTTGGTTACACGAGTCAGGTAGCTGGGACAGCATGTTCGCAATGCTTTCAAACCTTAGTTTTCTTCCGCTAGAAGGATTCATGGTTGGAATGGGAGTCGGTACACGGTTAAAAGCCGCAAGTGCGTCCGAACTCACGTAATCATTGCCCGCCAAAGAAGCTAACAAAGGAATCAGTTCCGCGCGAATTCGAAAGTGTGATGCCAGTTTACTACGGTAGAAAATATTGGCTGTTAATTGACCTGCTTTCCAGTCGAAAAAAGACAGTGGTATGTAGCCCGCTTTTATATCAAATATGAAGAAGTCACTATCATTGCCTAGAACTGGGCAGTTCCATGACTGAGCCAAGGAAGCAATTTCTGCATCAGCTTCACTGTTGAGGAAAAGCGAGAGGATCACATCTTAGGTCAAATACAACATCAAAAACTACACAGCTTGCCGTAGAAGAAAATACACTGGCTTAACAAACAATTTCTTAGCTTCATATGGCAGGGCCGAGTGTGTGGATGTGCTTGCCTATGGAAAGGCTCTTTAGTTGGGGTTCGAACGAGGGCTTTATTTACGGTCATTTCGCCCCGGTTACTTAGCCCCCTTTTTTAGAACGAGGAATGTTACGTTTGAAGTTCGCTTGTTTTTCTTTATGGCTTGTAGATCGAGGAATATGACATTTGAAGAGTGCTAAATGACTCAAAAAGGGGGCTAAAAAACCGGGGCGAAATGACTTGGGGGCAAAATGACCGGTTACCGTGTGAGGAGACAAGTCTCTCCCCTTCTCTTTAAACAACTTTTCCCTGGGAGCCTGCCCGCAGTGGCATAACAAGTGCAGGTCAGGGCTCTGAACAACTTTGTCGCATCGGGTACTCACTTTTTACCATTGGCTGTAAGACGACTGCCCCTCCCATCCCTCACCATTACTTCATGGGGGAATTCCCGCATTCAAAATTTTCGAAACAGTGCGTTTATCAAAGCTTTTCTTACCTGTCGCAAACTGCAAATTGAATGCCACCATCCCTTAGCGCCTGTAGGCAAACATCTTTGGTCAAAAGCGGAAGTAAGAACTGTCGGTCATCGGCTGATTTTGCCAAAGCATTCGCCTTTTGAATATTCTCCTTTGCTCGGTTCCGGAGTGTTTCCAGCTTTTTGTCGCTTGGATCGTCCGCTCCATCGAAGATCACAAAGCACTCGACTCGTTTAGAACTCAAAGCAGTAAAAAACGAATTAACCGCGTGGTAAAACTCGTCGTATTGCCCACCGCACCGGGAGTCAAATTCATAAAGATGGTAGCACAAAGAATACCCATCTATGACGAGTTTGGTATCCTGAAGAATGATCTTTTCCCAAAGATTTGAGATCGAACTAACGTAACGTACGAGTCCCTTGACCCCCATCAGAAGGTGCCATTTGAAAATCGTCACAACCAAATGCACCAGGCGCTGATAAAATGTTCTTGACTAGGATGAGGTATTATGTGCTGTTTTGTAAAGGCTATAATAATATAATCAGGATTGTAAATTAATGGTTGTGGCTGGCGACGACCAAAACAAACAAACGAGGAAAGAAACTTCGAGGGGTTGTGTCGCACCAGTTTTAGCCTGGGTGCCAGAGGCTTTTCAGGCGCGGTTTCCGGTTTTGCTTAAGTCTTAAAAAGTGACCCGCGCGAAAAGCCTCTGGACCGGAGCGTCATCCCTTTGATAGCGCCCAGCCAATTACAACCCCGGTTATACCAAAACATCCAGAATCTGGATGTTTTGCTGATTGGTTCCTTGGAGATATCGAATGTTTCAAATGCTCTGATTGGATTACAATCACAATAGGCGCGTGATCGGGACGCGGTTGGTTTTGAAGGAGACAAAGATCAAATTCAAACAATCCAAGCACACATCACGTACGTACCTCGTGTCAAAATGCTGCTTGTTCTAATGAATTTTTTTCTCCAGCGGATAGATTTAGAGTGAGCAAATGTGAATTTTTTTGCCGCTTGTTTGTACCGAGAGGTCGTGACACGCGGTTGTAGCGAAAACGAAGACCGAAGACCCGAAAACGAAGACCCCGAAAATTGCAAGTAAAATGTAAAAAGTTCAGTACGCTCTTGAGTTTTTGAGGAAAAATGAAATAGTCACGAATTGTAAAGTGGGAGGATACACAATAACACTGATAAAGACAGCTGCTGATATTCGTATTGATAGAAGTGTTTGATTTTGATTTTTCAATATTACAAGCACATCAGGTTTTGCATCCCCTTCCCACTACTCACCACCCCATCCCCCTCCCCATCGAACGCACTCCCCTAATTTGCAATTATTCCTTCGTCGAAACTCAATAAAGCAAATCCTGAGAACATATGAACAACCATCTGAATTTTCTGAATTTCCATGGCACATATTAAGGCATATTTTCCTACTATAGGACCATAAAACAAGAAAAAAGACAGCAACATCGATCCTTCTCTCCGACGACCGCCGACCATTTGCGAAAACAACCACGCGAGCATTCTCGACCCTAGAGCTTACGGGGTTTAGGAATGAACTCTCTCCTCTACATGCGCAGAAGAGCTCTGGGTCGAGATTGCCACGCGAGGAGTAACGCCTTCAACACCGCGGCAAAACGCATTGCGCATGAGCACAAAATTTAACATCCGGTCAGCTTTATTTCCGGTCTAGTATATAAACATTACATAACATTGCCGTCGCGCCAAGTTTAAAATTAAAAAGGGAGAAACAGACAAAAAAGGGGGCGAAAAAATCACTTCATTCGATAGCTTATATATTTTTCTAGTGTCAAACTTTTGCACCACATGGTTATCTAGTTGTAGGTCGCTAGCGCTCGACAAGACGAATTTGTTGTTAGAGACTTATCAGAAATTAGCAGGGGGAGGGGGGGGGGGGGGAAACAGAGGGAGGGTCACAACTTTTTGAGACTCAGAAAAGGAAGGGGTCATGAAAAATGGGCCGTTAAAAGGGGGACATGATCACGGGCATATATTTGCATGACCCTAGAGGCTCACCCACCGAGAAAAAAGGAAGTTCTTCATTTGGTAAAAAGACCTGGAAGAAATAAAAGAGTCGAGTGATCAGCTGTCAGAATGAGAGTCGGACTCTTAATGCTGTCATCTAAAATGTACGTATATAGCATTACAAAGAAGAGATTAGAAATAAATTTTGAGTTTTCATAATACTGACTCACCCAAGTGTATTGCAAGAACTAGATTTTATTATTTATACAAGACTGGGAGGGTCATGATATTTTAGGCCAAGCTCAAGGGGAAGGTTAGCAAATTTCACTCCCACTACAGGGATGCGTCACCGCATTTCGGAATTTTCCGCACCCAAATTTAAAAATTCCCACCCACCGTCCCCCCTGCTAATTCTGACAAGTCCCTTACTGGCTTTCTTGCATGCTACTGGTTTAGCATTAGTTAATTTGGGAGAAGGCGATATTTAAGAAAAGAATAACAATACTTATGAAACTTTAGTTAATTTGGGAGAAGGCGATATTTAAGAAAAGAGTAACAATACTTATGAAAGAAACCGCAATAAAGACGTCATTATTATCATTAACACTAGAACCAGGAAGTAAAATTTTAGACCGTTCAGTAATTTTTTATTATCAGAGAAAACAAGAACTCAAAACAAAAGATGGGCGGGATTCAATAGAAAACTTCGACTTTGATGACTGCAGTCACGAATACCCGGAGCTTTCGGTCCATTGAATGATCTTGGCTGGGAAACTAAACATGCCTAAAAACGTACTTTCATTCAAGAAAATGCGTATTTTATTTTCTATTAATTCTTTTACATAGTTGTTCTTTGGTTGAAGACTTCAATAATTTCAGACTGTGCGGCGCGGCTGCATCTCCTGCGAACACGAAACTTCTAGCTGCTAAATACATGGCATGAAAATTTCGACTTCTAAAAGCCATCGAACCAGCTTTCGCTCTCTGATTCTGAGAGTGAAAAAATTAAATAAATAAATAGAGTTGTCAAATTGCTGCCAACCTCAACAGTATAATTAAGCTTAAGGTGTTTCATGGCAATCAACTCAGAAAAGCTTCATTTCAAAACACGAACTCACTGGTAAATAAAACTACAAAGTGATCGTGTGTTGTCGTTTTCCAAATAAAGCTCGAAGCGGTTTTTAAGTCATTAAGACTGAGAAAGTGAAGAACCGCAAATTAGAACTACAATACACAAGCTTGCAATGATGACTTTTTATGTCTTAGTTTCAGCCAGGTTAAGTGAAAAATGGAAGTCAAAAACTTTGTGGTCGTGAAAGAAAATCAGTTTACCTCACGCTCAAATTAGCCAAAATTCGCTGAAAATTACACAAGTTATTATCAACTTACCTTTTCTGAATCTAATCGACTAGTTGTTTAAGTGATCTGTGCCTGGTTATCCATAAAAGCAATTTCAGTAACTACAAAATAATCAAAAACACTAGCAGCATGAAGCAGAACAATTGAACTAAAATACAAGCTGCACACAAAATGAAACCGGGAGCGCGCGGGAGACTTTGATCTGACTGAGAAGTGTGACTGAAAAAGCGACCGGAAATGCTCAACCTGGCGCTTACGTAGACGTTTTGCCGCGGTGTTAACGCCTTCAACTTCCGTTGATTCCAACAGCCAATCAGATCTTGTGGCATTGTTCTAACAGCCATTCAGCGTTGCAGCCAAAATCTGGCCACAGTGAGCACAAACTTGTGAGAATTTGTATCAGACCCAATTCTAGCGTATGAGAACCGCTAAAATTGGGCCTGATCTCAGGTTAATAAACTGCCCCTGGGTCTCCGAGGATGCTTGAATGCCGAGTTCGACCAATTTAAAGTACCTTCTCTGCAATTTTTACGGCTGAATGTTGTCTTCGGCCGATTCACTTTTATCAGTTCTGTGTGGAGAGGCGTTAGTATTTGTTACCGGCTAACAGGCGAATTTTCAGAATTTTGGATAAACTCGACCGCGTGAGGGCGTGAGGTTTCTCTTCATTGTACAGGTTAAGTTCAAAAGAAAGCTCAGTCTTCTTTTTGTGGACAAAGGAAAGCTTTTCATTAAGAAATTGTTCTTCGAGAAATTCAACCTTGTTTCCTTCACGGCGAAACACCTGGCCTGTCTGTTTTGAAATGCAACCAACGCAGCGACGTTTTGGAGAATTTTGAGGTACATTTTTTACTTTATGTTCAAGGAAATAACGTTTTTAAAAGGAAATTTATGTATTTATAAATGTTTCATAGACATTTAATTCATTTTGGTATCGGTTACAAAATGTGCACCGATTGGAGATGGCGTGAGTTTGTGTTGAATTTTTCACGCGGCAGCACAGGTAACCCAGGCTCTGTGATAGTAAAGGATTAAATTAACTGCAAAAACCGTGGACGAAGATCCTGCTGGTTGTAAACGTTGGATCTCTAGAAAAGAGATCAAATCAGCCAAAATATAAAGAAACAAGAACGAGAAGTCCGAAGACTACAGCAAAGCTGATTTAAAACAACGTGTATTGTTTTTTATAGCAATATTTCAGCTGGCCATACCAGCCTTCTTCAGGTTTACAGATGTTACTGAACTTATGCAGCAATCACAATATTATATAGATGGAGAATGTCGCAATAAAAGGGAGAGGCGGAAATGACGTACAACATAAAAACTGGATAGGAAAAATACTAAGGATATGGATTACAATAATTCGTCACGGCGGTTTAGGCCATGAGGTTCAAGAGTCATGGCCTTATCTATCAAATGCGACTCCCTGGCCTTACGAACTGAGTCACGTGAAGAATGAATTTTTTCTAGTGGGATTAACTGCATGTCAGTATGAGAATGGTTAGAGTGAGAGAGAAAGTGTTCAGAAACAGTAGTGGGTTTAGATTTAATGTTAGTTTTGTCGACTGCACGTCTGTGTTCGTTAAATCTGTCCTTGAGACGTCGCTTAGTTTCACCTATATATTGTAAATTACAACAGTTACATTGAACCATGTAGATCAGGGGCACCCAACGGCAATTTTCGGGAAAATATCTGTTCGGAAGACGATTTGAGATCTAGAATTTTCGGAGCATTTGTTGTAAAATTTCTTGCTTGCCTGCCTCTCCTAGGATTTTCGAGCATCTACAAAATGGTATAATTACCCATTTTTAACGTATTTTGACCTTAAAAGAGGCCACCTAGAATTTTCGGGAACCTTTTCCTGGCTGAAATTTTCGAGAAGGTAAGTTTTTATCCCTATAATTCTCGGATCACTAGACTTTCAGCTAGGAAATCCGAACAGATGAAAAGTTTTTAGGGGATAAAAATATGCCTATATCTACCGTTTAAATACTAAAATACGTTCAACAATGCTATGTTAAGTGGTTTTGGAACTATATCCTCGTTGGGTGCCCCTGGTAGATAACATTTTTAGTGTTACAAGTAATGTGTGAAGTGATGGAGCGTGTTTCACCTGTAGCGTAAAAGGTATAACTTGTTAGGCCGTTAGTAATGTATGGACAAGTGGCACAATTCTGTCCACAGCGGAAGAAGCCCGGCGGAAAATGATTGGTGGAGATAACGGGTAGTTGTGCTTTAACTAAAAGGTCACGAAGATTAGAGCTACGTCTGTAAGCAACAAAAGGCGGTTGCTTAAAGACGTCTTTGCAACGGTTAGAGGAGTGTAAGATGTTAAAATGTTTGCGTAGGATATTAGAAATGCGTGGAAGTGCTGGGTTATATGTGACAACAAATGGTACAACATCGTTAGAAGCTTTGGGTTTAGTTTGTAACGCGTTAGTACGAGAAATATTAGCAGCGCGTAGGAACTGTTTTTCTAGGAAATTATTATTATAACCACGAGCAAGGAGATATGTTTTAAGTTCATTAATGCGATGTTTAAACTTAGCGTCTGTAGAGCAGATACGGCGGAGGCGGAGGGCTAAGCTGAACGGAATGGCTTTCTTAGTGTGGTGAGGATGGCATGATGAGCTGAGAGGGTGCTAATATTTATCCGTGGGTTTAGTAAATAGATCAGTTTCAATTATACCGTTATGTAGAGACACCACGACGTCGAGAAAAGGAACGTTAGTAAGTAAGTGAGAGCTAGTGAACTTAATAGTGGGATGAATGTTATTGAGATAATCGACGAATATTTTCAAACGATCTGAACCTTCTGTCCAGATCATGAAAATATTATCGATATATCTCCACCATGTGTGAGGCTGCCAAGGGGCGTTAGTGAGAGCGTTGGTTTCGAACATACCAAGAAAAAGGTTGGCAAAAGAAGGAGCCATTTTAGTACCCATAGCAGTACCATGGATTTGAAGATAATGCTGTTGGTTAAATGTGAAATTATTCATGGTGAGAATCATGCGTAAGAGATCACATAGTGTCTCTGTGGGGATGTGTTTGTTAGGGCGGGTATCAAGAAAATGACGGCATGCATCAATTCCTTGATTATGTGGAATGTTGGTGTAGAGCGATGACACATCAAGAGTTACAAGAATAGCGTTGTTAGGTAGGTTACCGAGGTGAGAAAGTGTATTAAGGAAGTCAGTAGTGTCTTTAATGTGTGAATCCAAGGTAGAGACGAGAGGGTTAATGTAGTAGTCAACAAATTGTGAGATGCGTTCAGTAGGGTGGCTGTTAGATGAAACT